ATGTGACAGGTAGTAGGCTCAACAGAACAGCTATGATATTTGATTGAGTCCTATCAACAGTGCATTTTGTTATTAACAAAAAGTTTTCAATCTCCAAACCACCAATGTTGGGTGCATTAGAAAGGGTGTGGTTAATCGGTCAGGAGAGGTTCTCCTCTCCCTCTGTTCTGCATTGGTGAGGCCGCATCTGGAGTATTGTGTCCAGTTCTGGGCCCCTCAGTTCAAGGACAGGAAAGTGCTTGAAAGAGTCTAGCGCAGAGCTACAAAGATGATTAAGGGAGTGGAACATCTCCCTTATGAGGAAAGGCTGAGGGAGCTGGGTCTCTTTAGCTTGGAGAAAAGGAGACTGAGGGGTGAACTCATCAACGTTTACAAATATGTAAGGGGTGAGTGTCAGGGAGATGGAGTTAGGCTTTTCTCAGTGATGACCAGTGATAGGACAAGGGGTAATGGGTGCAAATTGGAGCATAGGAGGTTCAAGGTGAATATCCGAAAAAATTTTTTTACTGTAAGAGTGACAGAGCCCTGGAACAGGCTGCCCAGGGAGGTTGTGGAGTCTCCTTCACTGGAGACATTCAAAACCCACCTGGATGCGTTCCTGTGTGATGTACTCTAGGTGACCCTGCTCTGGCAGGAGGGGTTGGACTAGATGATCTTTCGAGGTCCCTTCCAACCCCTAGGATTCTATGATTCTATGAATGTTCACACTATTACTACATTTATCCATATGCTTACATGGCTCCTGCTGGTGTCATGTGAAAATAGCTGAAAGTACTTTAAACTGTTTGTATTTCTTTTCTAACAAAGAAAATAATAGTAGAAGTTGTTCTGCATGAATATTTAGCAACGTATATGACTATTCTAATTAACTGCAGTCAACATAGAAGAAGAGAGCAGATTCTTTCTGGTTGTGCCCTCTTGGAATTTTTATCAGTGTGTACTTGCTGTATAAATACACTTGCCATGTATTACTGTATAAAAAAGAAATATTGATATCCTACTTAAAAAAAAATAAATAAATTACAAAAACACTGAATTACTGAGCCAAACAGGCTCTTGCCTGCAATTTATATATGTTTTGCCATAGCTCTTTTTGCCACTGTATGAAAAGTATCAGACAAATACAGCCTACAATTCTTACTTCCAGATGTATGATTTTACATTTTATCTTACTTAAATTCATATAGCTTGTTCAAGCACAGTTTATCAGGTGATCCAGATCTCTTCACACTATTCACTATGTTTAGAGATAACACACAGATATTATCAGTATTTGCTTTGTTTTCTTCCAAATCACTAACTTTACATGCTATAGCATCTCAACCCCAACTTTTTTTTAATCCTGTGTGCATAATTCCCACCATAGATCACTATAGGATGTGCTTTTCCAAACACTTTTAAATTAATTTAATCAAAGATACATTGGTTCTTAACCAAAACATCACATGTATGACGTCAAATGCTTTGGAAAAATCTGTGCATAAGACTAAAAATACCATTTTTAGTTATTGAATTCCAGTATATAAAAAACTACTTTAGTAAGGCAATTAAGCCAAACTGACCAAGGTTACTTCTTTTTTAATTTCTGAAGCGCTATTAATATATTAGTTCTGACTATATTCAACTCCAAATTCATGTCTAGTTCCAGTTCTCTAACATCAGAGATTAGCTTCTAAAATGAACAATAAAGTAGGGAAAAAAAATGTCTTAGAACGTCTTCAAATTCAAAAACCAAATTAATAAAGAACAAGTTATTACAACACATTTTTCAGGAATTAGTGTCAACCCTGTAATTAAGTGGATGTTTGTCATTAACAAAATCTCACTATCTAAATAGTATATTATTTAGAAGGCAAATCCTAATTACACCAGGAGATTATAAAGCCCAACAAGATGTTCAAACTAAATCAATCAACTTTATGTTCTACTGCAGTAGAGGTATAAATAGGAAAAAAATTTCTGTTATATACTTACTTCATCATCACAACTTATAGCACATCTGCCATCAAGAGATGCACACTAGAGATACAAAAAAAAAATTAAATTATTATCCTCTTCAATGACTAAAAATTCTATATCCTGAACATTTTAAGTACAGTTCATTAAAGACTATGAATGTCAATTCAGTAATCTAGTTTAGTTAATTAGTCTCTGTCACTCTATGTTACAAGACAGGTCCTAAGTAACTGAGAAGGCATAATTCTGTTGTCACTGAAAAGGAACAAATATCACAGTTTGATTTACAGTTGCCACTTTTTCTGAGGGAGAAAATCAACATGGTTCAGACCACCAAAGTAACTCCTTATATATAGGAGCATAAAATTTATAATGTTTCTACTTGTTTCCATAAATATAGGAACAAGAAACTAGTTTTGTTTTTTGTAATGATGAACACGAATGTAACTCAGAAGAGGCAGCCATTATATATTTCAAATACACTGTTTATTTACAATATTTTCACTTGTGGGGAAAAAAAAAAAAAAAAGGCAGGTCAAAATCTGAACAGATAGAGAACTGGTGTGTATTCAATAACAAAGAAAATTTCCATTTAAAATGTACCTGTCTGCTTGCAGTCCAAAATTTCCGCTGGAAAAACTCAAGTTTCATCTGGATACCTACAGCTGGGAAAGATATACATTTTTAAAAAATCATTAAAATAAACCCAGCATGTTTAATTCTTTCAAAATGAGTATTTAAAATTAATCAGAAGGAAAAAAAGTCTGGAAAAGTAAGCCCTGAAATAAAAACCCCACAACTAATTAAATTGAAGAGATCACACAGTCATATTTTAAACCATTTACAGTTTGATCAAACATTGCTAACGTGAAGAATATGCAAGGCAAACATAATTGAAATTGCAGATGTCTCCATAATTAATATTAAAGTGCCACAAGCTGAACACATTCACATCTACCTCAAAAGTATATTTTACTGATAAAACAGCTGTAGGAACACGTGTTTTGTGCTGAAACACATGAAGATGTGCTGAAACAACAAGAAAATGTTGGTTAACATTTCAAGTGACCATTTGTTATTAGGCCACTTAATACATCAGTTATCTGTGGAACACAAGAAGTCCACTTCAAACATTAAGAACTTCTCTAAAAATTGAAATTAAGAACATTATGTACAATTCTGACAACAGCTAGTAGTTTAGTAATAATGATTGAAGATACTACTGGTTTAAATTAACTACTTCTCATAACCTCAGGTAGGATTATAGTTTTCCTAAGACCAGTGAACCTGTCTTCCTGCCTATTCTGATGCTGCTATCAGACCCAGCACTCCAGTGTTTCTATTGAACAACAACATAATGCATTGTGCTTTGCATAAGCTCCAAAGTCAATTGATTCTTCTGGTTTCACCTGCTTAAACTAAGAGAATGATAACATACCATCTATCTGTGCTGAAAAATTCTGAATTAGCTTCCTTTTATTTAAAAGAAGTTAATAAGAAGATACGGCAGAAGACAGGGGGGCTAAAGACATCTGTTTTGACTGCTCTTGCCAGCTACTGCTGCATCCCTGGACCATATCTTTTATGCTGTCATTACATTCAAAAGAATTAACAGAGTTAATGTATGGGTAAATAATTTCCTTTTTAACCCCTGAGGTGATAATAAAGCCTTTTGGTAGACTTTTTGAGAACCTTGTATCTGGCACAGGATACATTTTGGTGGGTTCTTAATGCCTCAAGAACTATTCAAATATAATTCCAAAGGGTTTTAAAGCCCAGGGGATTCTGAACATTCTCTAGTCCTTAAATGCTTCAGCTATTTATACTTAAATCTGTGTTTTACAGTCTGGCTACACGTGGGGAAAAAGGGAGACTTTAGAATTGTATCACCCATCTCAGCAATGCCTTGTTTAGCCTCCTGGGTGTAACACAGAAGTTATAGAAAGAAAAGAAATTGCACTGAATTTTTTCTGAACAATGTTAATCAAGGTATCCAGATAACAGCCACATTTTTAGTTAAAAAAAACAAACCAAACCACAACCCAAAAAAACCCCAAACAACACACAACAACAAAACAAACCCACAAAACACACAAAAAACCCCAATAAACCAACCAAACAAAGCCAACAACAAAACTCCACAAATAACAAAAACATAATTATTTACAGGGAATATACATTGTAAAGCATACAATAAATTATTCTTCAATATTTGTAGGCTTAGTTCAATCAAAACAGCCAAAGGATACAAGCTATTTATCTTTTGCCAGGAAAAAAAAATGAGTAAAAAGGAGAAAATGTTTTGTCTTCACTGCTGCCTGCTTTTTGTAATGTCATTGGGGTGTGGGCTGGAACTAGAGGTACACAGGAGATCAGCTCACATGAGCTCATGGAGGTGTACGAAGTCAGTTACTCCACATAACACAGAAATGTGTCATTTCCAATGAATATTGCAAATCCAATTTTTTGTTTCACTCATATTAGCAAATTTACTTAGGTGATTTCACTAAATACCTTTAAAGCTGTTTATGGAAAACAGTTACTAAACTCTCTGAGATTTCTTTATTTACTTACTACAGTGGCTGCTCTTCTCTAGTGCATACCCTAGGAAATTACAGATGGTTGAGAATGACAAAGTTAAATTCTTGGCTCAGAGATAATTATTGTTTCATAAGTAATTTCCTATGCATTGATTCCATGGCTGAGGTTAATATTTCACTTTTTTAGTGGGATGCTTTGAGGATAGAGGTATTGGGAAGTGTTTGACCACTAGAGCTCAGGACTGCTTAGTTTCAAGGCAAACATTAAGGAAAACAAATAGCTACTCAGAACAGATCAGGATTGCTTGTGTTCATTTCAAGATCTCCATGGTTAAGCAAATTGACAGAAATACAAGAAAAACCATCCTCAACAAATTACTTCTGTGCACAGAATTACAAGAGCTCTTAGGCTATAAGTAAAAAGAATAATCTTCTACTTAAAATAAGAGAGGAAACCAGATTAGACTGACTTATTTCAGGCAAGATAGGAGCTGAATCTCCCTATAAGCCTGGCAGACAGATTCTGAATATATAATTAAGGAAAAAGTAGTAAAAGCTAAAGGGATTCCATTCTGTAAAATATCTATAGAATGTCACACTATATAAAAGTACTAGTTCAACAAGTTTAGAAAAATATCTTAAGGTCTCCATTCCCTTTTCCCACAGAATACAGGATAGACTAAGATAGACACCCAGCATTTCAAAGATATTTGGGCCCCCTATTTCTGATGGAATAATCCTAAATGAGGTTTAACTTGGCTTAAAAATGAGAAATCTTGGATAAAGATTTGTAGCAGGATTATTTTTTAATGTATATTGTCCTTGTGTATTAATCTTATAATCCTTAAGATTCTGTTGTTTCTGCCTGATCATATTACCTCATTATATTTTAAAATATCAAATAAAGAAATATGAAATATTTCAGAACACCTTTACTTAAAAAAAAAAAAAAAAAAAGTAAAAAAAAAAAGTTGATTAAACTTATTTAGTTTATACTTTAAAATCTGTTTTCAGTTTTTATCTTAGCCAAATAATTAGATGTGGAATATTACACCCCAACATACAATACTGAGAAAGAAACAACTGCCAAGAAGTACCTCTAATACCAATTAATGGAAGATTCCCACCACCAAAGATCATATCCTTAAAAATACTTATAAAACATGTGTTATGCAATATAATTAAAATGAAAATCTACACATATTTTTCCCTCAATTTTAAGAGGTTTTAGCTTATAAATTAGAGGTGTTCCAAAACACGTTCTTAACAGTAATAGTTATGCTCCAGAATCAACCAACTTAGCTATATTCCCGAGATAGTCACTCTTTTTTCACATGCAGGATAGATAAAAAAATATAAACAAACATCTGTTAAATGTGCACTTCCTAGATTGCTTCTAATCCCAGTTTCAGTTTACTTGCACAATGAAATGCAGTTTCACATTTCAACGTTCACACTTCATTCAGTTTCCTTCTTGATCTCCTTGATCTTTTCCATTCTAGCCATACCTTCCTCTTCTCACCCCAGTCCTTATTCTGGCAACCCAGAAGATCTGCAAAATTTTCTTTTAACATGAGTAAATATTCATTTTAGTATCCAGAATGTCTGAACCTGATTGAGACACCCAATACAAAAAGCCTCAGCCCATCTGAAATCCATGTAAACGTGCACCTATCTTTTCCACCTAATTTTGAGCTGCTGACATTTGAACCTCACTAACATTTACAGACTTTTTTTTATTTATTTTTTTTTTCTAGAATGAGTCTTTTATTAACCTAGAGACAATGTAAAATACAAAAAAAAAAAATCTCAATGGGCAAATTAGCACATAATTTTTATTCTAAACAATATTCAGGAAAAAAAATAAATATATATATATACTGTATTATTACTGGTATCTTACCTTTATCTTTTAATCATCAAATCAGTGGAATGATTGCTCATACAGATACATTTGTAAGTCCTATATAATTATCAGTTTGTTACAAGAGACAGCTTTCACATGTCATAATATGTCATAAGATTTTAGAAACACAGAGTACTTCCTTCATCAGAACTATCAGGAAGCAACATATAAATGAGTGAATTCTTCTTCAATGAAGAATGGAAATTTGAAGGGCTGCCTCTTTACTCATGGACTTCAAACCTGCTATTTTCTTCCAGAATATTTTTAGAACTAGTGGTGGAAGCAGTTGTATGAATGGAAACTCCCAGGATAGAGAGAAGGCAAGGGCAACTGGTATTTCCTGGAGACCAAGCTCAAGCAGAGAGGGAGGAGACATTGGGAACTTGATGTGAGGCCAAGCTGAAAGGAGAGCTAGATGATGATTGCTGGAAGGCTGAAGTTCATCCAAACTCAAACCACTGGGGAAAGCTGAAGGGCTTGATTTGCAGCCAACCCCTAACAAACTGAACTGTGGAGGGCAGTCTGTGAACATCATCATAAAGCAACTCCCTTTGACTCTCTGACACATATCTTCCTTCTGGAGGACTAATGAAGTAGCAGTAGGAGCAAGAGGAAACACAAAAAGGATATAAATTGAGTGAAAAATTTAAAAAATATAGATGCTGTTGACTGAAAGTCCATTGCCTTTCCAGGAGGTTTCGCTGAGGGGCTTAGAAGGAAAAAGGTTATCTGTAAATTATCATTCAGACAGTTACACTGTATTTCAAACTTCACAAAATAGTAGTTGATGTGCTGCCAACACTCTAACAAAGGGCTCCTACAGAAATTTGCTCTTTTACCCTATGATCAACTTTGTGTACCAGAAGCACACCTCAAAGGAGCTACCTGGGAATCCATCTGTAATTTAAAAACAACAAACAAAACAAACAAAACAAAAACCAAAAAAAACACAAACAAACAAAAAAACCCAAAACAAACAAACAAAAAAACACACAAAAAAAAACCCAAGAAAAAAAATATCCTCCCATAAGCCTGGAGGAAGGTAACCACTTGGTATACAAAATTACACCAAGTGCACATTGCTAGGAAGATAGATTCTTTGTTACTGAGAAATACAAAGGGTACATTGATAGTATAAAATAGTGGCTTAGACTGTACCATTTGAAGGGGGTGAGGCAGGGCACTGTCAAGTCCTCTCTGGTGTCTGAAGTACCTTCCC